TTTACATTTGGTATCGATACGAAGGTTTTTAAAAAACAATTTTACTGTCATAATGTTCTAGACGCCAGAAATGGGATTAATGCCTTGTTTTTTTGTAATATTTATCAAAAGTACTTGAATAGGAGGCATTTAGGTAGCGCCATGAACTTTTTTGGTATAGCATGACTCAGACAGTGTTTACCCCGCACTTGATAGTCATATAAGTGTCTATATAATACAAACATACATTTTCGACATGGATTAATTGATATATAATGCTCGATTCCCATTCACGCTCACTGCTTATATCGCCCACTTCTATACTTTTTACATTCCTTCGTTCTTGAAGTAGATTAAAATCTACCCGCAGTTTTAAAAGATAATCTCACGGGGTAAAAAAATCTCTGCGCTGACTAATAACCAGTACTAATAATATCATGAATATGCTATTACTTATATACTTAAACGTAGGCACTTGATCCTAACAAGGACGTACCTAGACAAGACTTTATTTGTAAAAAGAAACTACATTTGTATTTTTCAATCTAAATTGGTGGGTTTAAAGGTGTGATAAAATAACATAAGAAGTGGTGTATATATATAATAAAAGATAATTTAAGTTTATTTTATGGTCTTGATATAAAGTAATTTAATCCTTGAAGACGACACACCTTAACTACCCTAGTTTTGTACACTAAAGAATTTGCATTTTAATGATATATATTTATATTCAAATCGTTGTATTATTTGGAAAAGTATGAGGGTTTGACAATATATGTATAAAATCATCATCTATGCAGCCTACTTTAACAATTACTCTTGTCATTTTAAATTGCATATCATTTTATTGTCGAGTTATTTATGCACCTATGATGCATTGTATACAAGTAACTGTTTGAAATGAAATAGTACATGAAATTTCATCATGATATTACATAAACATGCGGATTTTTTTCTCGAATGAAACCTTTTTGTCATATGACTTCCGTGTTTGGTGAGTAACGACCGCCTGAGATCATCAAAGAAATCGGATACTTTTTATTGGTTTTCCAAACCATATTAACCGTACATCTTAGTATCTCAACTTGTCTATTGACAAGGGTTTTGATGGATCGGTCGCCTTTTGACTTATACCAAAGACGGAGATGTACACTACGAGCTCGTGTGTATTGACTTGTACATATGTGGTTGCATAATTTACAGTTAGCTCATTATTACTGTACATAATAACTGTTTTAATTTGTCTTTGATGTATGATGGCCCGGTATACATGACTGTCTGAGTTAACAAGCAGTTTTATGGTTGTATGCGGCATCACTGTCATTAACGTAAATGAAGTATGTGAAATAATCATACCAAGTCTGTGTTCATTGATTTATACCAGTTAATATCAACAAAGGCAAATCTGCAAGGTAGTTTGTATATAGACATACTTGTCAAATAGTTCCGTCGTTTGAATCGATTCAAATATATAACATTTATATATACCCTTGTAGAAAGTAATGCTAATTTTGGAAACATGCAAAAACCGTGCTAATGTTAAGAAAACTCAGCTTTGATTATCTCCCACACAAAATCCTCATTTATCATTGATTATGTCGAATTTGAACTGACATAGACAGATTAAGGGGTATTTCTTCATGCATTACGGCATGGTGGGAAAGTCCAGGCGTTTTAAAGACCACTGAAAGCCACACCGGTCTCTAGGGTAATTAGCGAGAGATCTAGCTTTCAAGTATGAATATTGTTTGTATATTTTAGAGATAACTTGATTTCCTGCAAGTGTTGATACAAAGTTCATCAGATGTTCTTGATTGTTTATTCAAGAAATGATCTTGAATGCCCCAGCCACTTTTAATGAAAGAGTTGTGTTGTTTTCCAGACCACATGAATTGTTTAATCATGCCAGGAACCAGTATCAATACAACAGGAAACTGCATCTTGTTTGGTGATTTATTGATTCATCTAAGACTACCCAGCCCATAGTTCAGCTGTTTGCTCTTTTTGTTTCTTTGTTTCTTATTTATAACTTGACCAGATTATAAATTCTATATTGCAATATTGCATCAAAAATAATATGTCAGTCTTTGCTGTTTTGTAAACAGCAATATTGTTTTATTTTATAGTGAATGATTTTTTTTTCATTACATGGGAAAATTGTGTTAAAAAAACAACAACATGATTATCTCTTCATGTTTGATTCCTATGGGGATAACAAGTATAAAATTCCCAGCTGTTATGTATATTAAATGTGTATTTTCCATTTGTCTGTCAATCACATTGAAAGCTGTGCTGTTTTTTTTGTTGTTGTTTTTTTTCTCCCTGTTTGTAACTATGTTTCATGAGTTAATATGTGTGGTATTTTCAATGTGTATAAAATGTTATAAAAAAATATTTATGAATTTATAAATTAATGAAAATTACATTTGAAACGTTATACATTTGTTTGATAATTGGAGAACACATTATATCATCACATAACAGTTTAAATCAACATGATATTTGAAACTCCTCTAAAATTGTCAAAGTTATTTGTATTACATATGTTCAGGTATTTAAAAAGCACATGAAGATGGACAGCTGGCTGATTTTTTTTTTCAAACACACTTGTCTTAAATTATGTTAAGCAATATATTATTTTACAAATTTAAAATATCAAGCCCTTTCATATGATAAAACTTATTATTTGAGGAACACAATGTTTGAGCCCCTTTCCTGGCATGGTGCAACAAGCAGCTGAGGTGTAGAAGTTGTTTGGTGATCCCAAAATAACATATTTGGTTTCTTAATGTAATATACATGTTCATATTTTCTGACAAGGTTTCAGCTTTTAATATTGTTTTTGCAAGTGTTATAGTATTAGTAATATGTGAATTTGAAATCAAGTGTACAGTATACTATATTGTTTTATTACATCTATTTTATCTTTATGAGTAAAAATCTCAATATTTACCTTTGTTGTTTACAAGTTTACTTCCATATACAATAAAGGGCGTTCCATTTTGAAAGTCAATATTTTTGTTCATATTTCTGTTCATCTTTTGTTTATTTTTTGATTGTCACCCTGGAGTCTTTAATCTTTGATGTCTTCCATTTATGACCACAATGTTTGTTTTAACTGGTTTGTGCACATTCAGGTTTAAACTTTGCAATGTTTGTATATTATTATTATCTTGTGTTCAGGGTCTGGCAGAAAAGTTTTTAATTTCTTGCTTTTCTTTGTCATAAAGTTCATATTAATTGACCCTTATGGGAATTTTAAATAAATTTTATATTACCAAAGATGTATACTGGTTGTACACATTCATTGATTTTGGTCTTTGAAGAGAGGCATTTTTTCAATACAAGTTGATTTTGATAAAGTGTTGAAAATAATGTGTTAGCATTTAAATCAGGTTCTCAGTGAATTGAGTTTGTCAGGTTTAATTTGTCAGAGGTTTAATTTGTCAGGTTTAACTTGTCAGTTTGAATTTGGTTTTTTTTCATAGTATAATATATTAAGAGATACTCTTAAAAGAACATGTCATATTGTACAGTATTCCAAAGGTTAAGAAAATTAGGACATATCTTAAATTAGTTAATAAGGAACATGTATAAATGCCACAATTTACTATCTTTATGCAAGTATATTGCTTATAAGATATCAAATGTTACATGCTTGAACTTTCTTTTTCATCATGCATCAACAAGCGCTTGTTTATATGTCAGCATTCAGAATTACTATAGTTTTCCCACGAATATGAAATTTCATAAACATAAGTCTCTGCAGCTCTCATAATAAAATATTAACTTCTGTGAAAGTTTGTCATCTCTAAAAACCAGTGGTTATATTTGCTCATAACTGAGTAATGGTGATGAATATTGAACAAAATCTGATACTTCAGGATATCATTTTTATGATAATAAAGTAATGTTCCTGTATTCTGATATTTTTGTTATTTTGAAAGTGATATCTCATTTTTTTGTCCTCCAATATTGAAGAGTAATCATTTGTTCTCCAATACTGGAGAGTATCCATAATCAATATAAACCAGTCCCAGATGATTAATTAAAGAAAAGGTCTCTGAAATTATGACATAATTTAATGTTTTTTAATGGTTTTATTTTTAATTTGTATAATTTAATAGTTATAACAATACATGATGCTATGTGTCCTATTTTTTTGTCTCTTGAGTATTGAAGATCTGAAGAATAAAATGAGAATATATTTTACCTCTAATTATATTAGTTGCAGAAGAAAATTGTGATTTCACAGAATCAGTGGCAACATCCCCAGTCACTGTTACAAAAATTTGGTCATAGAAATACTTTGTAAATGACTGACAATTGAATGTTCTATTTATAAATTTATGATAGAAGAATGTGAAAATGAAATGGGAATATATAATGTTAAAATATTCATTTTCAAAGAGGCATTTTTATAATGAAGTTTCCATTGATGTGACGCTCATTAATGAGCTGACGATGATCATTAATAAATAATTGGGCTCTTAATTACCCGAGCTGTTTTTCTTTTGATCTGACACAGTTATGAAAATGTAGTTCAAAATTAATTGTAGTTGACATCTGGGAAATGAATGAGTTATTATAAAATCTCTTTAAGTATTATGGTGTTATGGTTCTTTTTTATCTGTTGATAATTTTGGTGACTTGTCATACTTACTTGGTATGACACAGCTGTGTTAAAATGTCACACAAACAACAAAAAACACAATAGAATTTGTACACTCAATTTGCAGAGTCATTGCCAAGCTTTAATGTATAATTCTTAGGTTTAACTAAAGTAACATTGTTGTGATTTACTGCTCATGTCACACACTTAAATTTTAGGGATCAAATTTTGACATGCCGAATAAAGTAAACGCTGTGACAATGTTGTTTGAAATGAGAATTAAAGGTGCAACAAGTTAAGTGTTAGGTCTGAATCATCAGCTTTATACTACAATACAGTTATATTGCTAAATAATTTCCATGTTTTTTCCTACATGTCATATTAAGTGCATTTTCTTTTATAATTTCAGGGAGGTTTTGCAAGATGTTACGAAATGTTAGATCTCAACTCGAATGTTATTTATGCTGGCAAAATCATCTCCAAACACAGAATATCAAAACCTCATCAAAGACAAAAGGTAAACATATTTTCACAACACGGTGTTGTCATATTGTGTGACACATATGTTCACAACACAGTGATGTCATATTGTGTGTCACATATGTTCACAACACAGTGATGTCGTATTGTGTGATGCATATTTTCACAATGCAGTGATGTCATATTGTGTGACGCATATTTTCACAACACAGTGATGTTATATTGTGTAAAGCATATGTTCACAACACAGTGATGTCATATTGTGTGACGCATATGTTCACAACACAGTGATGTCATATTGTGTGCCGCATATATTCACAACACAGTGATGTCATATTGTGTACCACATATGTTCACAACACAGTGATGTCATATTGTGTGACGCATATGTTCACAACACAGTGATGTTATATTGTGTAAAGCATATGTTCACAACACAGTGATGTCATATTGTGTGACGCATATGTTCACAACACAGCGATGTCATATTGTGTGCTGCATATGTTCAAATCACAGTGATGTCATTTTGTGTGAAGTTACCCACTCCATTGACTGCAGAATTACTACATTGTATTTTCAATGCCATTGTTTGAGAGCATTTTTGAAAGCAATTTAAATAATGGCAGCCATTATCACCAAGGCCATCTTTAGCTTCATTATTGCTGTGAGACGCCAGTCCAGCTTGTTGAAGAAATATCAATTCAAGAACTAGTTGTTTTTTGACAGGCTCTGTTTTTTTACAATGGTTTGACAAAGAAATACAAGAAATTACAAATAAAAACAGACTATAATATTTTAGTCAAACTTATAATTCACACCAAATTAAATTTAAATCCCTTAAATAAACACATCTAAAATGGACAGTTCTTATTTCACATGTAAAGTACAATATAAAATTCAGCCACTATTCTACAGAGGGTAATTTTCTCAACAAAATGTCAAACTGACGTGCTGTAAACATGATTGTAACAAGACTAATTTACATGGTGACACAGTCTGAAAAATAGCATGAAGTATAAGTCAAAGAAAGGAAAGTCAGCCAAAGTGTTATATCTACCCAAAATATTAATGCCAAAAACTGTTTATAACAGTTTGACATTTCAATAATTCTTTAAGGAAATTAATTTTTTCCCTATTCAATATAGATTGTAATTCTGAATGACCTATTCACCGAAAAGATTATTCATATAGTGAAATAGATGTGTTTATGACAAAATCCAATATTTATTTGATAGAATAAAACAAAATAACACTGAAAAGATTAAGGTGGATTACATAGTATAAAATATTTACACATACTTTGGGCCAGAATTTCAACATTCCAGACAAAGAAAAATAGCTATTCCATAAAAATATGTCTGTATGGGAAGTGTATTTAGACATTTTACTTGACAAGCCAAAGTAACAAATTGTAGTGAAAGAATTAAAATTCAATACCACATTAAGAGAGTGCATTATCGTTTCAAATGAAATATTTCACCCCCAAAAAGACCGCTTGTAAAGATAAAGAATTAAAATGTATTAAATGATGAATAAGCTCTTTCAAACATAAAATCCTTTAAAAGTTTGTGCAAGTTCATTTACAGTGAGAAGAAAAAAAAATATGAATGACATATTTGAAGGGACGCCACAGGCTTTGCGTGGCTTGATAACCTATTTTATAAATCCTTGCCAATTTTGGTATGTCTGTGAGGGTGTTTCATAATGTTGGAATAGCTGCCAAGTTGGGCATTTCATTGTTGGAACAGCTTTTATGGTTTTATGAATCAGAACTTGGAAAATGTATGACCCAAAATGCAACAAGAATGCTGCTGAAATTTTTTCCTTTCATTGGTACAAATTAAGTGACATTTGCAATTGTGCGATTTATAACTTTACATGAATTTGTAAGAAAATTATGTGAAATAGCTATAAAAAACAGTTGCATTTATTACAATTAATGTAACCTTAATGGGGTTTAATATTGTTTTGAAAAAAAAAAACTTGAAGGAAAAAAAAGGAATTTAATCATTGAAATCAATAAACCACAAGTTAGATTATAACCTAAATTAATCATACAGCAGGTTTGAAGTCCATAGTTCTTAATATCGACTTTGTGAATCATTTAAACTGATATTAAACATTAAGAATGAATAGGTGTACCAGTAACCGTGTGAAGTGGAATGAGACTGATACTTAATTTTTATATGTTAATAAAATTCACTAAACAGCAGCAGGTTTTTCAAAATAAGTCTTAATGAATTTTGACTTCAAATGACACAGCGAGGCTAATTTGTTTAAACACTTTGATTGAAATCTCCCCATAAAGTGATACTCAACTTTACCAAATGGATGGCTATTAAAGCTTTGCAAGATCATTCATTAGATATACCAAAATAAGCAATTTCAGCCCTTCTTTACAAATCACTTATCCTCAATGTCACTGACCCATTTGAACACCAGCATCAAATTTAAATTAAATGGACAATATTTTTGAGACAAACTTTTACTATTAACGTCCCTATATGAATTTTATGGCCTGTGGGTGACTTTGTTCAATTAAACAAGTACTTAAAAAGTGATCCATTCATACTGAAATTTGATAAGGCAATCCATTTATGAATCATTGACCTATATTCACTAACAAAAGTAAACAAAGGCGAGTGAACACAAAAAAAAAACCCTATTGGAATATAAAGAAATACTCTTCTTGAAGGAAGATAGGAAAAAGTCACAGCATGGCATATACTTGAGGAGAAATCAAAGAATGAGGTGGAAGTTTTTGTCAGTGTTTGCTAGTGGGGACCTTTGACAAATGTTGATATTGTAAACATTGTTAAAAGAACTGTAAGGAAATATAATAAGTCATTTATCAGATCATTGTCACTGTATCAAGATAAAATTATATGTTTTAAACAATAAAGTTAACTGTTTCCTTGTTTATTCTGTGATTGTACCTTGTTATAGCAACGCTCTTCAAAATGGAGGAACTTCATTCTGATCCACAATTTCATCTCTTCTTTAACTATCTAAATACCCATAAGAGGAAAGTAAACCGACTGGGCTTTTATTGTAATGCTGATAAATTGTAGCAATATAAATTATAATCATTGAAATTGTGTGTATGACCAAGATGGCCTTTGACATTGACTGCCTTTTTCTGCCTCGGTACTTCAAATCAAGCAAGATTTTAGTTGATATGTAGCATTGTATTTTTTTTACACTGACCAAAATCCCCCAGACATATACAATACAAAAGATCTCTTTTAATCCTTTTTAAATTGGCAATCTCTAATTGATTTATAACCCTATTCAGAGCACCTTAACAAGGCAAAGTCATGGTGGACATTGAAATACAAATTTCCATTGAAACAGACCCCCTGGTTAGAAAATATCATGCAAATTGTCAGTTGTAAATGGTCATTATTGCTTGCCCATGAAACCTTACACCTTTAATTGGTATGAGACATCAAATTAGGCAGTAGCTTTCACTGCATTACAAATGTTGCTCCAAGGGATACCAGTCACTGCAGAACATAAAGGTGAAAAAGTCTTATTTGAATATTTGATTGAAAATAAGGGAGACCTGTTAAGTTGTCACTCAGATTTGATGATTTGCAAATCAAACAGAATTCAATTGAACCATTTAATGAAAATTTTCTGCTTCAGAAGTTGCATGGAATTTGGAATGAGCAATTTAATTAGTTCCAAGTATTAAAATGTAACCAAAGGTCAAGAAATGCACCCAATGGTCATGCATTGAGTAATCGTACAGCTTTCTTTGAAAGCACAGATAAAAAAAGTGTTGTGTCAGCAGTTTTTGGAATTTCTGGATAAGTGTGAATAGTTTGATAACCTTAGATAATTTACTGATATTTCATGATATAACCTGAATCTATATTTGATAACATCTTAGTTAATAGGTTTTTTCTTTGAAAGGATGTAATGTTAAATAGTTATAAGTTTCAGGCTTTTATCTTTCAAATTGGTTTCAGTAGCTGAAATTGGAAGAGATTGGAAAATAACTTGAAAGATTGAGAAAAAATACAAACTTGAATATGATCATTTTCACACAAGGAAAAAAAAGCAAAATAACACTTGCCAGAATTAAATAATTAATTCTCAATTAATTTCCCGAATTAAACAATTAATTGTTTTAAGACTGAGTATGATATATTAGTGATGTTAAATAGCACAATTTTAGGGTGTCTCAAGTGATTGGGGTGGGATTTAATTTATGTAAATTGACACTACCATTGTTGTTAAAAGCCTCTATTCTACCATGATACATGGCTATATCATGATCCTTCAGATGATTCATCAAGTCAACAAACAAATCATGGGTATATAATTTGACTTTTTACAAACCATTCAAAACCCATTCATGTCCTGATACATATCTATCTACTCGTTCCAACTGGCTGAATCGAACAACTCCCAAAATCAGTTTAGCTTTCATGCTTAATTGAATTATCAGGGACGCAATCTTTAACACCAAAAAACAACCTTTGTAATTTGCCTAATTGAAACAATTTAACCTCAATAAAACTGATCTAAATTGATGGTACCTTGCTGAAATAGTATAAGAATCATTTGAGATAGTTCAATCGGAAACAATTGCTCAAAGGTTTAAAGAGCATTAAATATTTCTGTTCTTGTGGCTCAATCCACACAAAGATCTACCAGCACAATAGTGCATGAGTCACAATCATATCCATCAGAAGTTATTTTTTTAAAAAATGAGCCGCGTCACAACAAAACCAACATAATGGGTTTGCGACCAGCATGGATTCAGATCAGCCTGCGCATCCGCGCAGTCTGATCAGGATCCATGCTGTTCACTTACAGACCCTATAACAAGTAAAGAAACTGATAGTGAACAGCATGGATCCTGATCAGACTGTGCAGATGCGCAGGCTGGTCTGGATCCATGCTGGTCGCAAACCCATTATGTTGTTTTTGTCGTGATGCGGCTCAAATATTAAGAAAAAAGTACATTTGCACAAGTAGAAAGTTGCAAATCTTCTAGAAAGCCTTACATTTATAAACTGTCTGAAGTGATGATGTGAGAATTATAGACTGCCGACTTTGGTATGGCCTCCCTGTGTGGAAGGATGGACTTCTAACTGCGCTGGTATGGCCTCCTGTGTTAAGGGAAGGACTTCCTAATTGTGCCAGTCTATATGCTTCTGTGTTACATTTAACTGGCCTCCCGTTGTCAGTTCTGGCTTTCTTATCAATGATGGCTATTCCACATGCATGATACGGTGTACTTTATCTTAATCAGCGGTAATTGACCCATCATTACTTGAAGCTACTGGAAAATTTACGAGATTTAGCAAGTGTTGTGTATCAATGCCGGCTCCCTCTTTTTTGTTCTTTGACTTTAATGAGGCATTTACTGAACTTTTGAGGGATGCCAATCCTGTTGCTAAATTAAGACATAAAAATTTCTTTATAGGTTTAATTTTGTTGTACATATTTAGATTAACTTAAATCAGGCTTTTTATAATTAAGTTTGTCCCGATCTTAAAGTGAATGGTAAACAGAGCACTATGTCTCAAGTTTTGTCCAAATATAATTATATATTAATTTACTAAATGTAATTAGGTGAACTTAATGAAGCATTTGAATTTATTTGCTGAAATATTCCTGATATTTTAGCAGGACTTATTATTATTAAGTTTGTGTACAAGTCAATTTAGATTGTGTACAAGTCAATTTAGTTTGTGTATCAGTCAATTTAACAGCAACATGGCAGCAAGTTAATTAAAGTAACAAATTAAACGGCTTGTATTTCATATTCTTCAAGTTGGCACACACAAATTAAGGCATTTGAATCTCAATTTTTTTTCTTGAAATTAATAAAGTCTTCCTTATCGTGAGTTCTAAAAAAAAAAAAAAAATTTTGTACAAGGAATTTGTGTTTGGTTCCTAATCCTAATTCAATATCCATGGATGAATTGATAGAATTTATGAGTTTGTTATGCTGTAAATTAAAGTTCTGTGACATGCTGATGTTATTTATGTTTATAAAAGGCATTCCAACATCTTTTTTTGCTCATTATTTTTTAATAAAATCTTATAATAATGGGAACTCTCAGCTTTATTGCATTGATAAAATATTTGTTGCAAATAAATTATGCAAATTCGACATTTTTTCGTCTGTTTTTGCTGGAACATGTTGTATAGATAATGTGCAAAGGTGCACAAACGATTGATTAATTGATTGGAAATAAAAAAAAATGTTCAAAATGCATTTTGCATTTGAAACCTGTAATCATTTTGCACATGATAGCTATAAACTAAACCCCGAAGGCCAGTAAGTATTTAATGATATATAATTTAAAGTTTAAGACACGCCTTCAACTTGTAGATGTAATTATTTGCAGTGTAATTCAAAACTTGTAAGTAATTTCAAGATAAGTAACCTCTACTTTGTTTATTTTTATCAAAATTTGAATACTTATTTAATACCTATATGCCAGGTGTAACATGGAAAATAAAACCTCATTCTTTATGATGAATTAGATATAAAATCCTTGATTTACACCTGTAAAGGGTAATTGTAGACAAACTTTTATATTCAAATGATAAGAAAAAAATGCTATACTTAAGACTTAAAGTGCTTTATCATTTGTGAATATTAGTCCAGCTTGACTGGGGTAACAAATGCCAGGTAACGGAAGAAAATTACATGATTACCAATCTTTAAATATTGTTGGATAATAAAATTGAAAATTTCCTGCAAAGGTCAAGATGCTTAAACTCCTCAAAATATATCAATTAAATAGAACAGCCACACAAAACACGCAAACACTGACAAAATTGCTCAAAATATTGGACTTTGTAATATACATAGTAAAAATGTTGAAAATAATGATGATTTGATGATGATATTTATGATGATGATGATGATTATGATGAATGTGATAATGCTGCTGCTGATGATAATGATGATGATAATGATGATGATTGTAATGATAATGAATTAACAAAAAGATATAACTTGTTAGTGATGATGTCAATAATATAGATGATTTTGTGGTATTAAAGAAAATATTTTTTCTATTTTTTTTCAGATTATGCGTGAAGTAGAACTTCAACGACCACTAAAACATAGAAATGTTGTAGAATTTCACAGTTTCTTTGAAGATGAAGAAAATGTGTACATAGTCCTAGAAAATTGCAATAGAAAAGTAAGTATTTATCAGTATTCAGAGAAGAATTAGGGTTTTTTACCATAAACGGCCAAACAAATAAAATATAATGTGTAAATACACAGTGAAAGTTCCTTCAGAAAATTTAGTACCAAAGCCTATATAAAGAATAATAATCAATTTTTTATGCCATCGTTTTTCATATTGTGCTGGGGGAAAAAACAGTCTGGGGTCTTGAATAATTTAACAACCCTATACATACATATGACTGTACTTAAGTTTACATGAAAAAAAGTACATGATAGATTTGTTTCAGACATAATCATATAGTTCATCTTGGAAACAGGACTGTGAGTGGGGTTTGTCATAAAGATTAAAAGAAAATAGCAAACAAAAGGATCGATATTGAAAATAAAAACATGCCCAATCTTTCGGTCTTGTTTTAATGTTGGGTGCGGAACTTTTTATTTTATCTTGAGCGAAAACTTTAAACATGTCAATACTGACAACAGGGGTTCACTTTTGAAGTTTCAAGAGAGTTGAGATCATGCCTATAGATATTATTCAGAATGTTTCGGCAATATCATTTGTAAATATTGACTGTATAAAATGTTTTCCTTTGAAATGCACCCTTGTCTAAAGCAATTTTTTGCATTTTTCGTTTCTTTAGGCCCATTGAAAGATTTAAACAAAATACTGGTAAATTTGTAGAAAAGATTAAAATATTTTAATAGACTTAAAATTTAAATATAAGTAATAATTAATATCATAAATGGAATTCCATGAAAGTACAGACTGTAACTATACTCTCACATTTTTCAATAATATTGAAATACATAATTGTCGAAGTGTTTCAATGTTTATAAAGTAAAGGAAAGAAGAAAGGATTGGGGGAAACTTGTGGTAAATTCAAACAGTTTATAAATTAGAATAGAATGTCCTTGGGGCAGTGTCACTCTGGTCACTATCAGTGACATTTTGAATTTGACCAATGTCCTTTGTTACGTGGGCGGCATGGCCAAGTCGTTTAATTGGGTCAGAATAGTATCTAACGATCTCTACCTGTGTGGGTTCAAAACCCTGTCAGTGGCAAGCTGTTGTTTCTTTTGCGCTCACTGCTCAGTACTGCTTCACTCCAGGAACGGATTCAAGAGTAATGTCTATAAGGTACACAAGTGGACTAAAATAAATTCTGTATATATAAACTGTTAAATTGTATTTGATTTTTTTTTTCTGCATACAAATTTTTATAACATCAAACCTGGTATCAAACTAAGTCAGTGATCATTAGGCATTTACTTGAACTTGCTTCCCAATTCATGCTTTTCCATTCTTAGAATTCTTTGAGATCTTATCATAGCCTTTGGTCAAATACTGAATAAAGACCAGAACAAAACCACCTGTTTATGTGAATTATGGATGACTGACATCTGGCATATTTCTGTGGAAAGATTGATGTTTATTTCAGGGGAATGATGTTTATTTCAGGGACAATAGGAATTTCAGTTCATTGATATTTCATGTTTAATCAGCATTCTCAATGAGGGTACATATTTTTCTCTTAATTTCCTGTCAATTGTATTTAAGCTTTTGAGTACCTTGTGATCTGAGTAATTGGTCAGAGTTATTTTCTGAATAAATATGGCAGATTATAAATTAGATAAAGTCATTTGGGGGAATCATCATGTCATATTCAAGTTGTTGACCACTGCAAGTAGTGAATGTTAAAGGTCCATGCCATAAGTTCTAAACTGTAGACTTTGAGGATGTAATCAGTTATAAGGCTTTTGAAATGACGCCTGCTATTAAAATGACGTCTGCTGTGTACTCTTAGAATGACGCCTGATGTCAGTGTACTCTAAGAATTACGTCTGCTGTCAGTGTACTCTAAGAATTACGTCTGCTGTCAGTGTACTCTTAGAATTACGTCTGCTGTCAGTGTACTCTTAGAATGATGTCTGCTGTCGAGTGTACTCTTTCTTTACTTTATTTGTTACTAAAAAAATGATTGTACTTTGTGTCATAAATTTTACTGTTCTTATTCAATCAAAACTATTTTATTGAAGGTCACATGGACATGAAGATTGACTCAATTTTTGTATGTAATTTATGAGATAGGACAGGAATAAAAGAAAATATCTCTAGTGTACAATTAAGTTCAATTTGAATACACAATTTTCTTCAAATTATCTTCTTCAATGTCTTGCTAACTTTTGAATTCTATATAATTACTATTGTTATTTACAAATCAGCGTAAATTATTTTGGGAAATGACTTCAAAATAAATATAAAGCTGACAAAATCTTCAAATTAATTTCAAATAAACATCAAAAACGTCTGGCCCTTTCACATGTCAAGGTGTAAATTTGACTTCCAGTACGGATATGCAAGGTGTAAACCAAGTTTTTATTATTGCCCCTGGCTTTGTGATATATTGAATTTTATGTCCAATTTTGAGATAGTTGTCTAATAGATAAAACACACTGCGAGAAATAAAATTTTTGATACTCTGTAAGTGTTAATTGTATTTTATTTGCTGTTAAAATCTTTACTTAATGTAAGTGCAAATTGAGGGAGAAAGGAAACAGTATTGTAACTGGACATAAAATTATAAATAAGTTACGACAATTTTGCGGTAATCTCTAGACAAAACGTGGTTCACAGAGTACCCTCAGTATATAATTTATTATTATTGAACGTACAGACACAACATAAACAAAGAAATCTTATCACTTATATAAAATAGGAGGGGGAAAAAACTGTAAAATATTTAGTTGTATGTAGAGGGTTATAATGAAATTGTATGATAAACATCTGTTGGTACACTAAAACATCATAAAAACGCTCAACCAACTGTTTCATGAATCACTTATAGCAAAAAATTATACCTCAACTAAAACTTTATTTCGTTAAAGTGCTGACAAATTAGTGCTGATAAAATGCTGACATAATATCTCTATTATTATAGTACACTGAATAATCTCATCTCATAAAGATTAATTGCCAACTAAAAAAATCTAGAATTAAATGTAACAAAATGTTATTTGAATTAAATACTGACAAAATAAGCAACTCTTAATTGAATTCTGACAAATAAGCAATCTTTAATTGAATTCTGACAAATAAACCATTATGATTAAATTCTGAAAAATAAGCCATTTTCAAAATCCTGACAACTTTTTATGTTGATTAATATTTAATCATAGCAGTAATATCTCATATAAATAAACACTGACAAATACCTACCAAATGCTGACAATTATCTGACAATAAATCAGAAATAGTACACAAAAAGGGGCTTTCCTCCAGAAATGCTTAAAAGTCACCATATGATCTTTACTGTGTTTACTTGAACCAAACCGAAACAAACATTGAAATTATTTAAAATGCAGACAAATTTTAGCTAGATCTATACTAAAGGAAGAAAAAATATCTAACTTCAAAGTTTGAACTTTGCCCCATTAAATCAAATTGTGATGTCTTGATTTATCAGGTTTTGACCATCTTGACCCAAGAATGAGTGGTTATAACTTTGATAGATGATACCATTGAACTTGACTTTATCATAGTAGGAAATTAAGAAAACCTGTAACAGTCTTCAGTTAGAGTAGACAATTTATTACATTTTAGTTCATAGTACTAGATTTTCAATGATTTGTATATAAATCAAAACCAACTGTTTCCAAGTGTTTAGTCAGAATTTTATTGATATAATGCCCATTAAAGTTGTCAAAATTTCAAGGTAATTTAGAGGTACATTGAGTCAATTAATAATTAAAACCTGCAGCACATAGGAAATTGAATATGTATGTTTTTGGTAAACTGACCATTAAGGGTTGTGGCCGGAGGGTGGGGGATGGGGATGGGGTGGTGAACATTACTGGGTATGTCTGAAAAACAGAAGTAGAGAGTAGAGTTAACAGGTCAGTACTGGAAATGTGTTCTTCAGGACTGACTGACCTCTTGTTTTGTACATAATAAAAACAGTTCATTACAGATTTCCTTGTAAAACCAATGAAATATTCAACATAAAACTATTGAAAAAACACTTCATTTAAATCTATTTACATTATGACCTTGCACTTTACAGGTATATTTTCCCCTTTCTCAAATGGTTCTATTAATATATGTTGTCCTTTCAAGTCAGCCCAGCAACAGCTTGCTTGGAAATAATGTGAACTCAATATGTCTCTTGTTTACCTAATTGATTTAGTAATTAAGTCATAACACACTGTTAAACATATTTCACTGTTGGGGTTACAAGATCTATATAAAAAACATCTATAACATGGCAGAGAAATTCCAGTCTAAACATAGAATTAATAGCATTGTTTTCGATTGGGTCCATTCTTCAGACTTAATGAAACATTCAGTAGTCCCTGGTGGCTGTATTTGCTTTGGTTACTGTTTGAAAAAATAAAATGGACTTTGTGAACCTTAGAAAACATGACTTAAACAGAATACAGTCACATCCTGTGGAAAAGAGCAGTCGAGACATATGTAAAAATGTCTTAATTGCAAGATTTTCATTTTTAGAATTGGTCGTTAACATAAGTTTGACTGTAAAGTATTTTTAAAGCAAACTCCATTCTTTTGTAACTTATAATGCTATAATTAAATTGAATAAATTTTGACACTGTTTTCTAATATCCCGTTCTTTTAACCTATTGAAACCCTTAAACTGCTGGAACAGGAAGTGATTAACCAAAATTACCACTGGTATAAAACCGGAGTTCAACCTCGGAGGCAGTACGCCCAAGCAGCACTACTGTTGATAGTTTAATTTTTCTGTTAAAATCCTTAATGTTCTAACAAAGCAGGGTACTTTTTAGCTCAAACTTTTGTCCTCCCTGGTGGCAATTACACTCAGCTTATTACAGTAACAGGTGCTATAAATTACTTATTATGATAAATGTCAAAGTTTTATCATCCTTTGAATGTGGAAGTCATAGAGGGCGCTTATATAATGTTTAAAATCCCAAGACATGCCAGCTGGTTATGTAATTTATTTATATCAAAAAATGCCAAGCTTATCTTATACTGATTTCATACTCTGTTAAGGATGTCATAGAAAAATCTCAACAAAAATGTTAGACATAAAATAATGAAATTTCAGTTCAGGAGAAATACATGTGTTTCGAGTTTTGTTTTGTTTATAAGTAAATCTTTTGAGTTCCACAACAGTTTTTACTCTTTCATATTGCCAAATATATTTTATTTGAAATTTGAGGTCCCCCATTGCCAAGTTTTTTTTTGCCACTGCTTTATTTTGAATGCAGCTGTCAATCAGATGGCTTTTTGCAAGAATAATAAGTACCGCAGGGCAGTGCTTAACATTTTTTGATATGTTTTTACCTCTGCTATTTCAAATAATGCCATAAACATGTAAATGCTTTTTACTGAAATGTGAAATAAATAATAAATAAATGTCACTTCCATTACCTAAAGGAGGTCTCTGTAAATGACATCCAAATTTGTAAACATGTAAATAATATCTACATCTATTGTAAACATTTCATATAAATTTATTTCTGTTCTTCCTTAATGGAAGCACTTTCCTATACAATTGTGTTATTTGGTCATGAAACTTAAATTCCTGTCGAAACAAACCCCTCAGCTCTAAACCATTTTGTAATTAAATATGAAAATAAAAATCCCTGTTTAATTTTTTTTAAGTTTAAATAGTATATTATAACATATTAAATTTGACACCAGGGTTAGTTGCAAACATGAGCAAAGGTTTTTTTTAAGTACCACCTTGCACTGCTGGGTTTTGGGATATGCACCCAACTTCCAGTCTTGGGTATTTAATGGCTGATTTTACTGATGAATTATGGGAGCAAGTGATGGTTAGCGACAAGCAAGCTGAATGGTTTTCTAAATAATTTTTTTTCTTTGATCTATTTTATTACTAACTCGTACACTATCTATTACATGTGGATGTTTAACTGTACATACCACTCCCTAAATGAAATATGACATTACGAACAAAATATATGATAGAAATATGTTATATCATGACCTTTGATGCTAGATAAATTTCATTTTCACCCTTTTAAACATGGTTTAGTAAGTAAACTAGTATTGTAAATAAATCGTAAATTATCATGCTAAACCTACTTTGATGACATCTTTTATTCAATAAATTACAAACTTGGGAATAACTACCGCAAAATATGAATTAATTTCATGAATCGGTTACCAGGATAAATAAATAATGGCGTCCCTGTGCGTGGGAAAGTAAAAAATTTCTTTCATAAAACATGCAGTTAGCTTATTAAATAGCCATGAAATTTTGCATTAACTATGACACTCTTCTATACTTGAAAAGTACTTTATGACTTGCTCTTCAAAATGGAGAACAAAAAAAGCCCAATTTCCTTATCTTTATCTACCAAATACCAGAAACTGCAAGGTGCACACCAGTACCAGGACTGAATGAGCACAAATTTCTCATAAAAATGCTATAAATTGAGGGAATTATGGGAAAACATGATTTAGCAGCAGACGTAAATAACAGGGCATGGAGCAGACGACAACTGTTCATCTTGATAAAGACAAACATAAAAGTTAATATATAAAAAAAAATCTTTATCTTGTGAAGTAAAAATTGTTCTGGATGATGAATAGAGTGAAGTTTTGTTGGTTTTTTTAAAGAAAGTCATACATATCCGACTTGATGTGACTTTTACATTTTTCATATTTAGGGTAGAGAGTGCAAAATACTACCTATTAATGATATTCAAACTGTTTTGATTGATAAATGAAAATAGGTAAAGAGGTATCCTCCCAAATTTTTGCAATTATTCTTTATTACAAAATATATATCGCATTGATCGAAATGGTTTATGATTTATTGCAACTTTTCGAAACCCATTTTATTACACTTAACTTACTGGGTCGTAAATTGTACACATACATTATATGATCACTTTAAATTAACTTCAGTTTTAAATGGGATTTTAAATGGTTGATAATATGAAAAAAATGTAAATGAAAGACGGATATAATGCTGATGTAATGTACGAAGGTTACATTTTAAAATGGATATGTACGGTACTCGTCGTGCAGACGGTACTTGTCATACGGTACTTGTCGGTGTATTTGAGCAGTGAAAATCACACCAAGTTTCAAGTAACCAGTTATAACCATGAAAAAAAAGATGTATAACCATTCTCTTAAAATCTATATAGAATCGTATATTTATATGGTCTGGCCTAATTTTGTGATACTTTTTACTTATATTCTACTTATATTGTACTTTCAGTCCCTTGTTTACATGCTCAAACACAGAAAGACGCTGACCGAGCCAGAGGTACGTTACTACATGGGCCAACTCGTAGATGGTGTCAAATATATTCAAGAACATGACATAATTCATCGTGACCTCAAGTTAGGCAATATGCTTCTTAATGATGACATGGACGTCAAGATTGCTGACTTTGGTCTCGCAACACGGGTAGAATATGACGGTGAAAAGAAAATGTAAGTATATCTTTAACAATTGCTTTGTTCCTATCCTTTTAGCCTAAAATTGTCCAATTGGTCTTAATTTTGATGAAATTGTAAGTTATACATATTCTATAAATTTTAAAGAAGTGCATTAATAAAAATTAATAATGTTAAATGAAGTGAGAACATGTTACATGTCAAATACTGAACCTTTTGAGTACATTTATTGTTAATTTTCAGGACTGTCTGTGGTACACCAAATTACATTGCGCCGGAGGTGCTACAAAAGCGAGGTCACAGTTACGAGGCAGACACTTGGGCCCTCGGATGTGTAATGTAAGTTTTACACACAGGCACAAAAATTAAAGACTGTAATAAAGTAGAGAAAATGGTATCCAAGTAAAGCATTGACACATAAGACATATATATTACCAAAATGTATATGATTAATTCAGTTGAGTCAATGTTTAGGGTATAAAGTTACAAGATGTAGCGTGCAATTTTGAAGCTCAACTCCTAGTTATAAATCAAGCTTCAATTAACAATTTGACTCAGTTACATAAAAAGAGATCATGTTAATTTTACTGCTGTCAGTTACACTGAACATGATATAAGTTTAAAAAGTTCACTGATTCATCAAAAATCTTTACCCAAGCTTTTTTTTATTGGCAGTTGTGATATGAATAAATAGTTTTTAATGATGTTGCATAAATTAGTATTAAAAACGATAAAATCATTTTCCAGGTATGCATTATTGGTCGGTCATCCACCATTTGAAACAGCCACTCTGAAGGAAACATATATCCGGATAACTGAAAACCGTTATTCTATACCAGACTGGATTTCTCCGCAAGCAAGACATTTAATTACAAAGTGCTTGACAAATGAACCAGAACTTAGACCTAGTCTTGACAGTATTTTAATGGATGATTTTTTTAAGTGCGGACATTATCCAAATAGATTGCCGCCTAGTTGTTGTACATCTCCCCCTCGATTTCAAGCTACTTCGGCTGGGTCATTTGTTCGAGTCTCCAGGTATGTTAAAACGAGATTTTAACCGTCTTTACCACTTTATATTTTAAGATCCGGTTGGTAACATAGTGCAGGGTGCATTATATTTCTTTGTGTTTGTTTGTTTTTAGCTTATCAAGATAGCATACTTTGTAACTTCAGCTATCTATAGATAAGAGGTAAATGAAATGCCAGACTGTATATAGATACCATTGACAAGTGAATAAAAGAGTTTTAAATGTTTTAAATCAAGTTTTCTGACTGCACAATGAATAACTTTCATCGGCCTTTGTGCTATTTTAAGACCCTTAGGTTCTGAATGCATTTCAAAGGCATTCTTTAACTATCAGTGAAATCAATTATTCTGTATGCATTATTTGAAACAACATTGTCCCACATTTTCCGATTTTATTTTTCTCATGAATTAACTATAGTTTTACGAGCTTCAATTTGCATGGTATTGTTACAAAACAAAGAACTTTTAAACGAATTCTTCTCCGGTTGTGTTTTGTAAAAAAAAAATTCATAAATGGCAAACTTCTTTTTGTCATTTTAATCAAACAAAGAACATATTCCCAATGGTATGGCAATTATTTCAGCGCTGTCTTAAATTTGTAATAACAACCCTTTATATTTTCCGGGGAAAATCTTAATTGAATTGCACTGTGAACTGGTTATTATAAATAATACAATATTTGAAACTGCTTTGCTTTTTTCTGCTCTTAAAATAAATTTATGAATAACAAAAAAATGCTAGAATTGAAAGTGTAATGAACTGTACTGAATGTCACAAATAAAAATTGACAAAGTTTATTGCTCCAATAGGATAAGAATTTTTGTGCTTAAAGTTATTTGAATTTCTAGATCAATTAATTCAGCATTCCGAGTTAAAAAAAAAATTGTAGATTTGAAAGCAAAGATTTATCCGAATACTAGACAGACATATTACAAAAAATACTGAAACATACAATTAAGTTAAAAGAGCCTTTTCAATTAAAGGTAATTACAGTCCTAGCCTGATAGGAAGTATTGCTATATTTAAATGGTTGCTATTTTTGATAGACCACTTCAATTTGTCTACACCATATATAAATGTCTGAAGGTAAACCACAACTTATATACACACATGCTTCATGTCAAACATGTACTCAAACACACATCATGTTTCTTTGTTCTTACAATGTGGAAAAAAAAAATATGCCTCCACATTATATATTTGTAAGTCATATTACAGTGAAACCTATTTTATAGACCTTATTACTACATTATTAAAGTTGACAATTTCTCCAAGATGCTGACTTGTGCATAAACAGTGGAGAAATGTACTTTTTTTTCTTCACGAGTTAAGCTGGTTAGTTTAATGACCTTGAATTGTTGTCAGAACAAATTAAAATGTGACAGTAACTTTCAAAAGTTTTCAATTTTAAAGTTATGACGGGCCACTGCATGAAATTCCTTTGATAAATTAACCTTAAATGACCTCTTTTGAAAGCACACCTGTCAATACAAACAAATTTTTTAGTTACCATGAGGTGGTCTTCAGCTCCATGTTTGACTGTATCACCTCCACCATGGTCATTTATCATGTTGGTAAAAAAAACAATGTTATATTCATGTTACACTAGTCATGTCATTCATATTTTTTTTCTTTGCTGAATAATGACTTGTAACTTTAAAGTATTTTTTATATATTTTTTTTTACCAGATTAAGAAATTTGTTAACTGACTCACTTACCTTAACAATTTAACATCAACACTGTTTTAGGCAGTCTGATAGTCCCTTAACTTTCGGCTGTTTTGGGACATAAGCAATGGACATTAAATCCATTTTTAATGCAGGATAAGTCCATTATAAGTCAAAATTAAGTGTGGTTGCATTACCCTGCTGCATTTAATAGACTTGCCCTGTTTTGAAGTAGGAACTGTACATTATAAGTGTTGGGGATTTAAGTTTGAAAAAGTAACATTATGCAATAAGCAGTTAAATTAAAGCAGGTGTTATTTATTTTAACTTTATTTATTTGACTTTAAGCACTTTAAGTCATTTTAATTTATTAATAGATACAGTTTTGATTGACATTTATAATATGAATACATTAAATAATGTGAAGCTTTGTGCACATATATAATGTATTTATAGCAATAGTTTATTATTATCTGACATATAATTACCACATAATAAACAGGTTTTACAAAACCAATTTTTTAATGAGTCTATTGAAGGTCATTGCAATACATCAGTTACATATGTAAATTTTTCAGCAAATTAAAATGACTCAGCATTTTAACCAGAAGAAAACAATATGCCCTTCAACTTCCATATATTTTAAAACTATACATGATGGCAGTTTTTCAACTTGTTTGTATTATTTCATTGTAATAGATGCTTTATTAATCATAATATTTACAGAAATAATCAATATTTTCAGACCAAAGTCTTATGCCGTCCCTGAAACGAGACCCGAGTCCGGTGTAGACAGAATAACCTCTCCTATCCGAGAACTGGAGATCACAAATCGTCATGAACGACAGCATTCAAAAGGCCGTCACACGCCAGACTTTTCCATTCCTATGTCAAGGATCAGTGGAAGGACTTCGGGCTCGGAGATGACGCGTTCAGACAGATCCGACTCACCTGCGCTCAGAGGTAAATTGTAAAACCTCAATGACTCATTCATAAATGTTGAGAAATTAATCAATTTACAAGTATGTAACAATTTAAATGGTAAATGACTGCTGTTTTAAATATAAATAAAGGGAGGTAACTTATGTTATGTTTATGTTAGGATATGGATGGCTTAATGTCACTGTGATGTCTCCAAAACTAAGAAACAATGAGTTTGAGCCCTTTTTTGACCAAGAACATTTTCCTTTCCCTGACATGAGTCTTATTAGTTGGAAAAGCAGACTCAGAAAGAGATATAAATAAGCCTAAAGCTTTTCTCATCATCCAGCTAAAATAGATACCCGGCATATTGAATGTAAAGGTTTATGAGATGGTTTTTTGTACCATTATCTAGACGATCATTTCCTTACCACAAAAATGCAGCAAAAACCACAGAATAAGCCAATATTTTACCAGTTTCATTTATCTTTACATTTATTAAATTACCTGTTCAAAATGTTTTACATGAATTTATATCTTTATGCTGCTGATTATCTTTATTGCCGATCTTCATTGTTATTAATATAAGATGTTTTTTTCCCCTTGTCTTTCAGAGTCATCTCCAAAACCCCGCTCTGCTGCCAATCTTCTAGATGTGCTCACAACTTGTTTAGAACACATGCCAAAAGGTACGGTAATAAAGATAACATACACAGAAGCGTTACTTTTACACTCCTAATTTTTGTTAAATGGACTTGCTCTGTTTTGAATTTGGGGCAGTCCATTGTTAGTAAAAGGGGATTTCAGTGATAAAATTATGCAAACGAGAAGCCAACATTATAGTTATTGGGCAGATTGTACGGATGTACGTACTCGCAGCATAGGAAGTCAGTATTGCCAACACTACTAAAGGAGAGTTAACATTCTAATTTTATTTAAAAAAATGTTAACGTGTAAGATTCTTATCTTGTGACATGTGTTTCTTCGAGAGGAAAATGTACGTAGGAGACTTTGTGCCAAATTTTTTAAGATAAAAAAAAATACTTGTAACATTAAATGAATGTGGAGCAATCTTGGGTGAAAAATTATAGACAAAAAAGAAAGATAAAAAATTTGATTAACTATTTTTTCAGATTTTGAAATTGATTGATAAGTCTTTTCCTTTATATAGAATGAGATGTGTAAATCTAATTTGAAGCAAATTTTTTCTCATTTCTTGCTCTACCTGATTTTTTTGAAAGGGAGTCAAATTAATAAGCTAGTAAATAGAATAAAATCGGCATAATATTATACTATTGTAAAGGAAATTCACATCACCTCATAAAATTTAATGAAATTAAAATTTCCATAGTGCAGTTCATTATTATTATATAATGACACTATTTCAGTCATTTTTTTAGTAAATCAAAAACAATTTGTCAAAAACAAATAAAAAAAAAAGTATCCAACATATGTAATATCATTCTATATTGTACAGATGTGATCAAAAATCCTGAGCCCATGAGTGACATGACAATCCTGTGGGTCAGTAAATGGGTGGACTATTCCAACAAGTATGGCTTCGGCTTCCAGCTTTCCAATGACTCTATTGGAGTACTCTTCAATGACACGTCCAAAATTATACTTTCTCCTGATGGAAGGTAAATTTAGTGTTCTTTGTTTTCTCGTCACTCTGGATAATTGACATTTTATCTTATAAACCTCTATTAAGTAATTTGGCAATGGAAGGAAGATTTTATGCACCAGAATTAATATTTTGTCACATTTGGCGCCATTGGCTCTGCTTTTAGAACTGTGTTTGTTATTTCATTATACATTTTTTGTATAGTAGCTGATTTGATTTAATTATCACATACCAATAAGTATTTATATTTTTGTCATTGTCATTCCATACACTTTTAATCGGAGATTATAGGGTGTTTTGTATCTTTAAATTTGTGTACATTTATATTTTGTTTATTCTATGAACAGATCCGTACAGTATTATGATATGACCGGACATCTAATGGCATTCTCTGTAGACCAGCCACCAGATGACCTTGACAAGAAGACCACTCTCCTAATGTATTTTGCTAAATACATGGACGAGCATTTAATTCAGGTACAATAATTTTTTATTTCAGTTTACTTTCTTTCTTTTCTTTTTTATTTAAAAAGAAACAAATAAATATAATCTCTTATTTTTTATTTAACTAGAGAATAATTAAACTGTCTAATGAGTAGTCTGCAAAGATGAAAAATTTTCTGTTGAATTATTCATATCATATCCATCATCATAATTTTATTTTTTCTTATTAAAGGGAGGTAATATAGAGTGCTCAAAGGATTCAGATGATATCAGTGTTGGCTCCCTTTGTTTGAAGAAGTGGTTCAGAACAGCTAAAGCAATTGTTCTCTATCTCAATGATGGGACATTACAGGTACACACATATATACATGAGTTATGATTTTACTATAGAAAGAGAATGTATTTATCATTTCAACAAATCATAATTGTATTAATTTCAGAAATTATGCGATCAATGCAACATCTTTCTTTAAATCTTTAACATTTTAACTCTTTATCTGCCTAAAACTAAAGTGATATAAGCCTTTTCCACTTGTATAGAGTCAGGCCAGCCTGCACTTCTATGCAGTCTGACCAGGCTCTATACTGCAGGAATTTAATTATATACATGTATTTTGATACTGAAATCCCTTCAAATTTGAATGGACTGTTCTAAATTCAAAGCTGGACAAATCCATTTCACAAATACAGCAGGTTACGGGTTAAAAAAGTCTTTATAAAAATATCAAGTCTAGAAATCCTTCACATTTCTTTAAATCCTCAAATATCTAAATGCAAATATTATCAAACTTCAATAAAAGCAAAATAATCATAAATCTTTTGTATTTTCAGGTGAATTTCTTCGATGACCACACAAAAATTATTTTAAGTTACATGCGCAATGATTATTTTGTGACGTATATAGACGAGGAGAGATGTGCCACCACGTACAGCATGGTGCACCTAATCCAAGATGGCTGCCGACGCGATATTATGGACCGAATGACATTTTCAAGGTCAATGCTGAAAAATCTAGTGGACATCGAAGGTGTAGATATTTAAACTGGATAGAAGTTACTTATGATAGAGACTATGTGGCATAATAAAACAAAAAACAAAACAATGTCTTTCGTTTAAAGGGTGATTAAAAGTGACTGTTTGTCAAAAGTGCTGTTATAAAAGGCAAGGATAAGGTGAAAAAATGTATACAAACTTGATTCAGACAATTATAGGAAAAAGGCAAAAGTTGTATGAAATATGAACGGATTATTTCTACTTGTTAAGAGTAGAAGTAATGTATTCTTCAGTGACAGAAAAATGAATTAATTTGTTTGGTCATAAAGTTTGAGGTACTAAGCCGAAAGGATTGTTTCAGGCATAACGATATAATGAGATTGCAAATGCATGCAAAAGTGACGTCTGCAGCCTTTGACAGAGTTGGTCTTCAGTGAGAGAATATATAATAAAAAAAAAACAGCCAAAATATTGCAAATCTGTGATGCAAACCTTGCTCATTTATTATATGAGGTAAAACAAATAAAAACACTCCGTTCATTACATAATTCATGGTGATTTAACGTAAGGAGAGCAATATATCAATATATAGTCCCGATATCGTAACACAAAGTGTTCTAATTATACAATAATAGGCAAAAAAAATGAATAAATACTGAGCGATAAATCATGTTATCTCATCTAGATTGCTCAAATTGTGATGTTTATTAAACGCCTATTCATTGTAAATGACGTTATGCAATAATGAAATGTGAAAATGCTCGTAGATGCATTATTCGCAATGTTTTGTTCATGATTTGATGGGAGAAATTAATTAAATGATTTGATTTTAATTGATTTACCGGAAATAAACAATGCATTATAGAATCATTAAAGTTTCATGACTTTTTTTTCAAAAAGCAAAATGTGATAGAACCTATACTCAATTCTGGATTTAGAAAGTATTGTAGTGAAGTAAATGTGAACAATAGCCGAGAATAAATGTTTTATTGTCCAAAGGAGGAAGCAGTGACAAGTGCCTTTATAAATGTGATAAATACAGGAGTTAATTTCCCTCTTAAACTTTAAAAGATTGAAATTTATGGCACTGTGTTTGTATGAAAATTGAGGGAAATTGACTTTAGTGTTAAAATGATTTATTTTCAAATCATTATATAACAGTGTTTAATGGGTGTGTTTAAGACCCCAATGACACTAATACAAGTTTGTGCTAAAATGGAATACTTGATGCTTTTTTTACCCCTGTAGTTTATTGTTGGCAAAACATAATTTGTAAAGAAGACATAACAATGTTCATTTTTTACTGTTAATTTAGTTTTCATATTTAGTGAGCATTCAATTTGATGGCAAATATTTGTTTCTAATTTTCTTTAATTTTATTAAAACATGTAAATTATTAAGTTGAAAATTATTTAACATTGTATCAGTCAAAAGTGTGTTGTATATGTAATAAATGCACTTTATAATTATTTAGACCAGATTTTTTTTTCATTGGTCTTTTATGTAGACATTTTTTTTCCCTATATATGATTTCTGTCCCTTGATTTTATAGATAAAGACATGATTTATCTCCCTTGAACCAACTGCAGATATTCAGTTTAAAGTAATATCCAGCAAATGTAGTAAATTGTATCAATTTTACAAGATGAAGTGTTTCAAATTTTTCCACTACTCGGTTATTTTTATGCTTTCTACATTTTTTTTACGAAGATCTCAAGGGATGGTTATAATTTATTTGGCTAATGCAACTTAATCCAGCAATCTATAGACCCAATATATCAAGCCAATATATCAAGGTGTGCATTATTTTTATGTGTATTATATATATAAAAATCCACTAACACAGCAAAATTTGATACAGTAACAAAGGGTTGATAAAAGGCAATTGTGACTTAAAATGTCATGAGAACACTATAATGGATCTGTTTTAAGAGAAATATAGAAATATATACAGAGTATTCAACATTGTAAGTGTGGTTTTAAAACAAATAAGTTATTACTTGTTATTGTGTGTTGAAGCAACATGGTAATTTCAATTCACAATTTATTAAGTACCCACTTTGTGTCCGTGGAGACCATTCTTTAATGTTATAGACTGTTATAATGACAAAAATAAAGATAATGAGTTTGAGGATTTTACCTCCTAGGTAAGCTTGTATTTTGTGTTGATTAATAAACAATTTCTATGTGGTTAAATTATTTTATTTGTGAGTGACACTTAAAATACTGTTGATTTTTCTTTTACTTTTTTTATACGACATTTTTGTGTTTTATGATTTTATTTTAACAACTTATTCAAGTAGAATTTGAGCAGGTCAGTTTGTCTTGCTTAACTGTTGTTGCATATTTCTCCCTTTTGTACAAGTGCAGTTTAGCATAATAAATATTTTCATTTTGTTTGCAATTCTTGCAAGAAGTCTTTGTTAAGAATTTGGGTCATATCTTTCATTTAATTTTACCCGTCATGGCTAAGAAGCTTGAGTAAGTAGTTTCACTTTGTATATAGGTGATGGACTGTATTATTTGTTATGTCTTGTTCAAAACATGCAAGCTTTGTAAATACACTGATTCAACAAGCCGGGCACCAGTAATTTGTATGACATTATCATTGAATTATAAATAATATTCAACAAGCCGGGTACCAGTTGACATTATCATTGAATTATAAATACTATTCAACAAGCCGGGTACCAGTTGACATTATCATTGAATTATAAATAATATTCAACAAGCCGGGCACCAGTAATTTGTTTGACATTATTATCCATTGAATTATAAATAATATTCAACATGCCGGGTACCAATAATTGTTTGACATTATCATTGCATCATAAATTATTGTTAATATCTAGATATATTTGTTGAAAAAAGTCATATCTGACAATTTAGGGATTGATATATCATTGTCAAGTTTCTAAATGAATTACAAAAAGGTATGACTGTGATTAAAAGACACTTTAATGATCTTTATTAGTTATTTTGGGTGTTTGATTATTTCCTTGCATTTTTTCATAAATATGGTAAATTGACCAATACATAAAATTTACTATAAAATTTTTAAAAATATGTATTTGTCTTTGAAATGTACATTAATCTTGATTAGAGATTATTCTATGTCTCTAATAATTAAAGTTTTAAATTATTGTCAAATAATTCTCTAATAATTTATCTCTTCTTATTGTCTCAATCTTTATTGATCTCATTTTTCTTGCTAGAAGCCATCATAAGATTTCTTTCTTCCTTCAATTTTCACCAAAATGCTATTGGCATAATTTTCATATTACAATGAATGTGACCAAACTGTTAAGCAAACATGTAATGCTTTTTTAGAATGTCTTCAGTAGAGGTCCATGTAGGATACCCACAGTTGATTAAAATGTGACATGAAATTTAATCATTAAATGTTAATGGTTTGGCTGTGGGTATCCAATGATGGTGGAGGTCAATTTGTTTGAGATTTTGATAAATAATTTTGAAAAAAAAGTGAGATTCCTCTGAGAAGTTTAAAAAACAACACAAAAATTGCTCTAGAAATTAAAATTTGTATATAATTAATTATTGTTTACCGAGTCTGTTCATATGGGAGATACAAATTGTAATAAAAAGAGCAACATCTTTCATGCACCATAATTATAATATCTTCTAGCAGTATATCATCAGAAGTAAAAGTATTGGAATCAATGATTCTCATGGACCAGGAAACTATAACAAAAAATTGCTTGTTCAATTATTTGCATTAGTGCTGTTTATTAACCAATATTTGTCTTCTATCATAAATTCCAATGATTTATTTGTGGCAGTTGGTAGCTACTTGCAAAAAGCAGACAAAATTATAAACAAAGGACATTTTTTAAGGGCTAATAATTTTAAAATTGTTTTGTAAGAGAAAATTTATGATGGCTTTTAGCAAAATATTTATTCTATTTCCTCAGCTTTGTAAAATGCTACCATAATTATCTTCTTTTTTATATGTAAATCAGACTTTAAAAGTTTGGCATGGTATGATTCACGTGTCCATATACATGGTTTAAATTTAATATTTTATGAAAAGTGTAAACAATTTTGTAAACTTGCAAACCCTTCATAGGAAATCCTTGTTATATTTGCAAATTGTAAAAGGAGTGAGAATTTTTGTAAGAGTGGTTTTTATGTTTGACTGGTTTGATTGAATCCATGTTTTATTTGATTGTTTAATTGTTTATGTCTCTAGAAAATGTTACAAAATCTGTTATTGAAGTATTTCTAGGTGATTTTAAATGATAAAATGTGAAAATTTTATGGAAAAAAAAAATGTGAGAAAAAATGGAAATGTGAAAAAATGTATGAACTTGTATTTAAAACTTATGTAGCTGAAACACAGATTGAGGGGAAAGCTATGACATAGCAGTGATATTTTATTTGATTAAATACAAAATTATACATTTGATTTGATTTCTTTTATAAGAACTCAATCATATTGATAAACAGCAAATTTCTATTTAAATGGGATTTTTACTTATTTTCTACCTCTGTTTAGTTAGTGGACCATTATTATTTTAACTGCAATTTTAGCTCAAGCTTCTTGTTTAGAAAAAAGGCTTTCTTGAAATATTGGGACCAATCTTTTAGAACATAGTTGTTTGCGAATGAAAACATGTTATAACGATATATAGCATTAGATTGAAACAGCACAAATGGTCAATTTGTTTCTGTTATATATTTGATTGGATATATTAATAAAGTATATATATATATATATATTAATATTATATGAGAGAAAATGGTGATTATTTTTTATGAATTTGTTGAGATATGAATGATTTTCAATTGTTGTATGATTTTCTTGATTTATTTCACTTTAAAGAAACTTTATAAGAAATGAAAATGGGATTTTCATGATCTTGAAATAAAGATATAAAATATTACCTATGTTTTGTGATTTCTTTAAATTTAGAATAAAAAATTGAAACCTGATAATTTGAATAAGAAAGACATGTGTCTTGTAGGATTCTGTGTATTGAACTTGTTCATAGTCAGTAGAGATAAATGCAAGCAACGGTCCATGTACCCTTGCACCGGCTTCAGCAGAACTTGACATTTAACATGAAAATAATGGGATTTTGAATTTACAAACATTTGTAGATCTATAAATAATTCATGTGTAAGTGGATATAATGAATTAAAAAATGTCTAAAAGTTACGATGGGTTTCAGAGTCGTCAGAGGATATGTCGGTGTGGTAGTCATCTAGCTTATGAAAGGTCAGAAGTCCAATCATATAAAACATTGCACAGAAAGCATCTTCCTTAACCATTAAAGGAAGAAAGGTGGTCATATGACCTTGACAATATGACTTTAATCCAACAGAATTATGCAAAAATTAAAAATTTGTTCGCCAGTATAGAATCACTGTAGTAAAAAAGGATGATATCAAGGAAGCATTGAAAACATCAATATAATATATAAATTGCAGACTCGGTTTGATTGTGTCTTTTCATGACAGAAAATGAAAATTGCAACATCTCTCACGCTCCCTAGCACCGGCTTTAGTGGTATTTAATCTTCAATATTTACAATGCTAGAATCAATGATCCCAAATGACCAGACAAAATATTAGAGCACTGAAGTGAATTATGGAACAACTTTTTACAGCTGCCCTCACAGCACCTGACACATGCTTACAATGACAATGTGACTTTAATTTCAAGAGAATCATAAAAAAATGTTCGCCACTATAGAGCCACTGAAGTAAAAGAAAAAATCTTGAAAAAGGGTGAACTCTCGAAAGCATCGGTTTGATCGAGTATGTGCATATTCTCACGCCCCTAGCTCCGGCTTCGGCTGTATTTAATCTTTAGCCTAGATATTGCCAGTTATAAAGATTTTTTCACATGTTATATGTTCCCATTTAAATGGTAATATTGCAGACAACCGTTTATGTATGGTCATATAACCCGACAATAATCTTTATAACGATTTCATAATACAGGAAACTTCCTTTCTTTGAGAAAAAAATGAAATTATATGTACTAAATGAATTGACAGCTGTCATGATGATAGTTTATATAAACGTCACGATTATCCAATGAAAAGCGACGTTACAAACGTGCAGTATTATGAAATATAATATTTTATTACCCTTCCAGATTTTTTCCGCCTTTTTGATTGGATATTGATCACCCGAAAGAAATTGATATAACCGAGCCAGACGGGTAATATACACATTAAATGTCCCCGTTGGGTACCCAACGTTGTAAACGACATGCGCTGAGGTGATGCGCGAACGGTTCGATTTTATGCGGTGTAAATTCCGATTTACAAGCACTTTTTAACTGTCAAATGATAAATATTTACCAAAGTAGAGTAATGATACAAATTCCCATCAATATTGAAAACAAATATGACCTTGTGAAAGCTTGATATTAATTACAAAAAAGTGCTTTCAATAGACTACTCCTTTTCTCTTGTTTACATTCGTTAGGTACGGGAAAAATACGTCATGTATTTATGTGACGTCATGTTGTGATGAAGAGGTACCCTAAAGGGAATCTTATTTCGACGTTTCATTTGAAACAGCAATGATTTTTTAAAAAATCGTTTAAACTCGACAGGGGAA